CATTCACTTCTTTTCCCTGCCCGCTAAAGCCAAAACGTGATAGAGATTTCATGCGCATGCTCTTTTGCATCCTCTGATCTTGCATTCCATTCAAACAACTTACAAATATACTGGCTATGTTTCATTCTAACAGATTCATATGTGAACGAACGGCGGTTATCAGTCACGTCCATGAAGTTCTCTTTTGTTTGTTTTTTTCTCCTGGTGGCTGCCTGCCAAGGAAAATCGGTAATGTCAACTTCCTTCCCAGGGTCTACGTACTCGTAAGGACGTCGAGCTGGAGACACAATAACGCTAACTGAACCAGTTAGGCAGTGTTGCAAAGATCGAGACATATCCACATTCCGAAACCACAGGCCTATTGAATTCCTGCCAGAAAAAGAGCTATGTTGCAATCCTGAGGGGGGGGGGGGGACCTTTTTGGGGGAGGGGGACTTTTTGGCCTTACAGTTTTAGTAGCGAAAAGCTCCGGCTTTGAAAACCAAAACAATGGAGGCTGAATCGCGTTTTGCTAGCTAAAGTTGTTTGGTCTCGATATTTTTTACCAACTAGTTGGATTTTACTAAAACAATTATTCCCCTCGCCCTCATGGCCTTTGAGTCAATAGCCCATTCGGCCTTCGGCGTCATGGGCTATTGACTCAGAGCCTATTAACTAAACTGCTAAACGGCACCGAAACCAGCTTTAGGCGCGCACTGATTTCAAATGACTGTCACTTATGTTAAACAAAGAATTGTGGGTAAGGAAAAAATAGGGAGGGGGAGGGGAGATAGTAATTCTGTCTATATCCACTTCTACACAAATCCCTAACCACAAAACAAGCGAAAAAAAAAAACGACCTAAGCAAACAACACAGAACAAGCTACCAGACAGGGAAAGTTGAGAAAAATTGCAAAATGTTTGCTAACCCTGTTTTCATAACTCCATGTATAATTATAAGAAGATAATAAATGAATGAATAAATAAATAAATAATACAGTAAGATATAATAACAAGATCACATGTTATTAATGTTCATGAAAAAAACGCGCGGGACCAGGGAAACATGTAAAAATCCTGATAATCGAAAAGTCCAGATAATCGAGGTTGGACTGTAATAGAAAGTGAAATGATATTTAATGGAATGAAACGAAACGTGAAACCGAGATAATCAGAGAGCCGGCAATAAACGGAAGAAAAACCTTGACTGGCCGTGGGTAAGATCAAACAAAAGACTGACCAATCACAGCACACTTCCAGATCTGGGAAGTGCACTTTGGACCTTGGAAAATTTCTCTCTTGACTCCAGAAAAGATCCGCAGGTCTCACGAAAGGTGAAGGCCTTACAGTTTAATTTAGAATCAAACTGCTCACTACAGTTAAATCACACGCCTTCGTACTAGAGGCTGCTCTCACAATCTCAGTGAAAAAAAATACTTCTCAGGTTAAATGCGCTGAACGGAAGTCGGCTTTACCACAAAGTCATAAAGTGTGAAAAAAAATTCTGCCTTTTTTTCAGTTAAAACGTGCAACACTATGAATGCACTTACAAGAACCAAGTACAGAGGGGAAAGTTTCACATTGCGCGACTAACAAAGAAAGTATCCACTCTTGCAATAATCACAACTGCTCAGTCAAAACATTTGCTCCAGAGCATAATCTACCCGTCAGAGAAAAAAAAATTATTGGAACCACCAGCATTTTGACATGAGGTAAAAGTCGAGTGTTGCCTACCGACCCCCCTTTTACACTTGACATCTTATCCAGCCTTTACAGAGAGAAATAGATGTATACAAAAAGCTAACGCTTATTTCCTACATTCTTGTCCGGAGCAAAAATCTTTGGTCACGTATCACTCTCTACCAGCTGTCTGCCGAGCTTGTACGTCGTGTTAGACTTTAAAACAGTCGGTTTTTTCTCAAATACGGTTTCTCAAAATAGAGACTGTTTTGCAGTCTAATAGGCTGCGTAACAGGCGCGTGGGTCCAAGAAAGAACAGGCGCGCGAAAGGAAGACACGCGAGGAGAGAGGGAGTGCCTGCCCGGAAGGCCCACGCAAATCGTTTCAACTCGCATTCTGTGAGTGCGGACACTTCCAATTGATTGAGAGGCTCCCGAGGGAAAACGTAATCGCTCTGGGCGAGAAAACTAGGAGTCAGGATTTGGGGAACTGGTCAGCACACCCCCACCAAGAATTTCCAGGAGTACCCCTCCGGGAAGAAAGGTTGGACCTCCGAAGGTACTGCAAACTAGCTATAGGGTGTCTGGAGGCATGGTCCCCACGGAAAATTGTTCAAATTTAGGGACTCAGAAATTCCATTTCCTGCTTTTTCGCAGGACATTTTCAGTAAATGGATGCGAAGGAAAATGCAATAATTACATATAATTAGTTGTTTTATTTTCATCTCAAGTGTTATCGGTAGGGTGCAAAAAAGGTAGAACAGAGACGACATCAAGGAGGTTACAAGCAAAGGGCGAGATGTTTACCCTTCAGACGGCTTTTAGATATATTGACAATGTGCTTTTACCTCTATCTGTAGTTTTCATTTCAGGCCATTAAACCCTTTGATAGTGACTGGTTTAATATGTTGACATGAAACATGTTGTAAAAACCCTTAAAGCCAGTTGTTTTTATATATAAAAAAAATTCGACCTTCGACATCAACACACCTTTTTTTGCCCTTCAACCTGCTTTTCAGCTACGATTGTGAAAAGCCACCAAGCACAGAGAAAAGGGGACTAAAGACAACCATGCATCGTTCTAAAACTTTATTGAAGCACAATGAAGTTAGATAACTAAGTGTCGTAAGTAGGACTAAATGGCCGTAAATATAAGTTAGCTATCTAGGTTTTTACACTTTGAACAAACTGCAACTTGTGAAAATTTATAACTCTCATCCAAAAGATAGTAAATGTTGTTTTCCTTCTCGATCAACCCGGGTTCAAGTTTTCCCTTCTAAACATGATATGCAACAAAATGGTAACCCTTCAGAGTAAATGTTAGGCTTATGGTTAACGTTTATGAACGGCCCGAGTTGTTCTAGCTTAATTCTTTTTTGCGCTAGCACTGATTCAAATCTCAGCATTCAGCATTCGTGACTTGAATAAAATTTCCTTCCATTTGCTGATGAACAGATCTTTTATATTGCACTTTTATATTGTACCTACCGTGCTTACAGTTTGTAATCAGTTTAATCTGCCAACGAAGAAAAAGTTCTAACTGCAAAAGTAAGATTAGCCTGTACACAGACTTTGTTTTATTTTTCTTTTCGTTATTTTCGAAAAATCGGCGAGCGCGCTTCTATTTTCTTCTTCCTCCACCCCTATCCCCCTGCGCCGGCGGTCAATAAATCGCCCTCGGTATTTATTTTTTATCACCCGCGTTCAACGGTTTTCGAAGAGAAAATAGAGGGTCTGTGAACAGGCCGCTAAGATAACATTCCTGCTTGGAGGGAGGAGTGGGAGGGGTTAGTTACCTACAGTATACAATCGCGTATCTTATTTCTGACGAGTGAGTGGTTCAACCCAAACCAATACAAAGGCTATGAATTACAAGTCAAGTGTAAGTTCAAGTTCAGTTTATTTCCCTCAATGTATATTTTGACTAACGCTAGATCAAAGACTCAACTTACAGACTTTGCAGGTGTCTGGAAAATGTTGCTATAGAACTGATATGAATGTTTGAGTATGATGGCCAAGTGAACCATTAGGTTTTCTAGTTGACCAACATAACTGCCAATTACGTTTAAAATAAGTACAGGCGATGAACCAGAAAGCGAAAAATTAAGAACATAATGATAGAAAAGAAAAGAAATAATTAATAACAGTTAATAACCATCAAACAAAATGCAAAAGATTTATTCACAACAGATTTATTATTTATTAAGTCATAAACAACTTATAATTTTGCAACGTTGATTTATTTTATTGTCTTTATTAACTGTTCCCTTCATTAGATGTTGTAAACGCCACACCATAAAAGTTAGCAAAGTCAAAACAAGCATTCGTGGCAACGAATTAAAAACACACGTTATTTATTCATTTATAATAATAATAATAATAATAATAATAATAATATTTATTGCTTTTATTACGCATTATCACATTAAAAGATAAGATCAAATGCACATAACACTCGAATAAGACTAAAACAAAAGTTATATTTCATACACTCTATATACTAAAGCTTAATCATTTGTTGCATTTCCTTCCTAATGGGTAATTTAGCTTAACTCATCATAACAAGTAAGAAGTAAAAAGGGAAGATAAAAGTAGAAAATAGAAACCTACGATAGCTCAAGACAGGTCGCTATAGGCCTTTTTAAAATAGTGCGTCTTAATGAGTCTCTTAAACTTATCAAAATCATTCTCTTTCCTGATATAGTCCGGTAAACCGTTCCAAATCTTTGGAGAAGCTGCAGTAAATGATTTGGGTCCCCAAGAGTGCATTTGAACTGAGCGGTAGGGTCTTGCAAAATCACGCCCACATTACTCCGCAGGTTATAGCAAGAGCATTGTTTAATATGTATGAGATTACTTATATACGCAGGCCCCAGACTGTAAATAGACTTGAAAGAGATCACAGCGATTTTACAGCAAATTCGAAACTTCACCAGTCCCAATGCAGGGCAAGCAGCACCGGGGTAAGATGACAGTAACTGGGTTTATGGGTGATAAGTCGCGCTGCGGAATTCTAAAGACGCTGAAAGATGACAGCTAGTATAAGCAATTTGGTGGAGGTAGGCGTCAAGAACTTCCTTATTTGTCTGATATTATGCAGGTGATAGTAGACTGATTGACAAGTCTTTTTTATCTGTTCTGTCATCTTAAGGTTAACGTCAAACCACGAACCAAGGTTGCGGAGGGCAGAACTTGCAATTAACACTGATGCTTGACCAATCTCTAGGTGTGCAATATTCACTTTATCAAGTTGTTGCTGAGTACCAATTAAAATGATCTCGGTTTTGTCTTCATAAGCTTTAGCTGGTCCGCCGCCATCCGCCGCCATCAGCATCCACGGTTTCAGCTAGTCTCGTTGTCCCCAGAATCCGGCTTATAAGATAGATACACTATATACTACTAAATGAGAAATTTCTGCAGTTTGATTGGCTTAGAGTAGTGGTACTTCAGCTTAATTTGAAAAACCTACACGTGAAAATTTCAAAGCTTTTGGGGGTAGTAGTATAAACAAATAATAGCATGATTTGTACGTGATATTTGGCATAAATACCGCTCGTGATATTTCAAAATTGTCTCAAATTTCACTCACCTATAACGGCTCGTGATCGTGAAATTACGAGTGACAATTTCGAAATACAACCACAAATCATGCTATTACCTATGCAAATTCCGTATAAATTTCCTATATATGAGTGCACTTCAGCTTTTTTTGTACACGTTCTGGGAAAATGTTGCCTTGTGAGTCAAATATCAAGCCAGAGATCACGCCTTTATGTTTCCTTGAATTACGGCGTGGAGTAGGGGGTGGGGGAAGGCAGCAAAGGTTTTAACAAATGATCGAGTCACGTCTACAGTCGAGGATCTTTATGAAGAGTTTTACTTCAACATACAACACCGTGAGGCCAACTCATTCACTGACCTCTAACCAATCAATGAACATCAAAGAAAATTTTGGATCAAGTTAGGCCTTCAGGGAAACTGCCCACCTATGCCTCCCCTAACTCAACGTTAACGCTTACTTCCCACTAAGGACAAAATATTTTGGTTAGGGGAGGGGTAGGTGGGAAGCTTCCCAAACACCTAAATTGATCAGTATCTGCATTCTTCGCTGTATTGCTCTTCACAAGAACCGCCAAGTATCAGGTGAAAGGACAAAGTGCACTTAAGTTTAATTTTAGAGCAGATGAGGTTATGGATAATTAATATGAGCCATCATTATACCAAATATGATGGCTCCGCCCTCTGAAAGTAACCAATATAAGCCGTAAATGTGATCATTATCTAGCTGTATAAAGGCAACAGGGTCACCCCTTCTATCTCACTAGCATTGGAGGCTTACTAGTGGGTAAGTATTCTATAGAAGCCTAAAAATAAGGGGTACCTAAATTGGTCATCATATATTTCTTAAATTCAAACACATGTTCTTCTTCAAGGGTTTGCCTTCCTTGTTTTGTTTTCGTTTAAGTAGAAAAAATTGCGAGCAGTAAACAAGTTGAAGCTTACATTGTAGCCGATCGAGCCTCAACTATGCAATTCTGAATTCGGAGAGGGTTTCTCTGCAGTGTCTTATATGTACGAACTGTACCTCAATGTCAATCATCGCACTTTACTTCAATGTTCAAGCTGGCCCTACGTTTTATTCTATTACTCTATTAGGCCATACTGTTACATAGGTATAAAAAATAAGATGCCAATTGCAATCAGAGCTACTAGATGCTTGCCTGTCCAGTATTAAAGGGCCATATAGAACTTTCAATTGTTGTTTTTTTGGAGCATTAGACACTGCAAAGAGACCTAAAAGTTGTTAATGAGTACTCACCAAAACGATCAATTTAAAACAAATTGGTTTTGTTCGCGTCAATTTGAAAACGTACTAAAAAGATTGAAAAATCGGTTGACATTTTCTCAGTCCAGACTTTTAAAATATACTGTATACCTGCGGTAATGAAAATTCACTGCAATTTTCTTTTTCGCTTTCAGTGAACTCACAGGGAGTCCGACAAGTCCACTCCGTTATCCTATGACAGTGCAGGAGGCCATCATGAAGTTGTGTTTAGTTTGTATTTTTCTTCTGGCTGTTATTTGCCAAGGAGCAATGGTAAACAATACAATGATGCTTTCTTCAGTTTATTAACAATATTAATTTTAGAACATACAATTTGTGGGAAACGTGATCCAGTCACCTAGTTCCTTTTTTTAGGACGAAATGGGGATAAGACTGCTCCCCCCCCAGGGGCCTGAGATACAATCTTCCAGGAGCCGATTGACCCTACTTATGAGCTCGGCTGGGGGTCAGAGGGGCCATTGAGGGGAGCAGGTTGGAAGGAAACATCCCCGTACTCGACCCAGCCCTCTACAGCGCTACCTGTATCACAGATTGAAAAGAACATCATTGTCATATGTGTTCACCAGGTTTAAAATTCACCATCTCATCTTAGTCATCGCATATAAAATCATATACGAATTACCGACCCCCAGGCGTATCAGGCTTTAATGAATTTAGTTGCAATGTGCTTTTGTTCACGACTTGATATAAGATTCAAACAAAAGAAAAGAAAAAGGAAGAATGGAAAGAAGTTGCAGTCTAGTACAAAGAGGGACACACGCAGAGCTTGTGCTTGCATTTGTCTCCCGCCCACTCTATTATTAATAAGTAGCTTCTGTCTTTGTGATAACGCCTCCTTAGCCAGACGACTCGCTAAACTACATTTTTCCAACTTTTTCTTCTTTATGTCCCTAAGACTTACAATATTAAAGAAGCCGTTAAAAAACAAATGGACCCAGCACAAACTTCCCGCAGCAAGGTGAGACGTAATTTAGTACACAGTGAATAATTAAATAAAAGACCACACAGACAGACTAAACGTACAGAGACAGACAGACAGGGGGGCGTACAGATAGTCACTATAGGCACTCAGAGAGATCTGATGGATAGATAAGTGACTCTCTAACCATTTAGAACTTTCCCTAGCTTGTGTCTTACTAAAATGCGCAGTGACAGACAGATCGAAAGAAGTGTCCTTCAGACACTGAAATCAAGAAAGGAATAGACTATGAATATCTGACAACACGTAAAGGAAAATGAGATTGGAAGCAGCCAGTTTAACAGACAAACTCTTAGCTAACTCTTGGTCACTTTTGAATCAATTGAGCAGGTTGTCAGACCGATAGAAAACGTTCGATTAGGCGGTCCTTCTGCCTTTTACTTTGATTTGGGAGGAAAAAGAAGTCAAGACAGGGACATCAATGAAGAAATGACTGTCTTTGATAGCAACTCTGTTGATACATAAAATATCTTGGTGTCTGGTAAGAAAAACATCAGATAGCCTAATAATATTCTGACTGAATTCTGAACCTAGGGGACAGGTTTTAGGAGCTGTTAGAGACAGACAGCTAAATCGAACAACTTCCTTGTTATTGGTAGGAAAAAGCGTGCCAAGAAAACGCAAACAAGACCAAACCTCGATCTTGCGTAGACCATCTAAAGAATGGTGCAGACAAATGCGGCTACTACAAGATTTACGATGCTGCCGGGAATGGATTCACCGTGTTCTGTGACATGGAAACAGAACCTGGGGCGGCCTGAACACTTGTCACGTCTTGGAGCTTCAAAAACAAGCTATTCTCGAACTTTAGGTACTTTTCAAATGAGCAAAATAAAAGTAAAATTGTGTGATAATCGCTGTTACTGCACTCCTACGTCCCTCCCACAGCCCTTTGTGGTTATCTGAAGTCGCAGTGTCACCTCAAACGAGAATTGGAAAAAAACGGCCATAGGCTGAGGATACGCTCGCACAGCCTTTTTTTAAGCAAAAACATCTCACATCTCTGATTTTAATAATTGCATTAAAAAAAGAAAAGGGAAGGAAAAAAGAAAACATGCATGGCTATTTGTATGTCTAACGGGCTCTTCAAAATACTGTAACTTTGAACAATTTTGTTTTCATTGACAGGACAACTCCCTTGTCAATCAACGATCCTGTGAACGAAAACTCCCCTAACTGGTTCCTTTACCGGCTGACAGTGGACAGAATGAAGTCACTGAGGGACGTATCCACCCACTGGCGAGCCACGTGCAGTTATGATAAGTACGGCATCAACAACTACAAAGATTACGTCCGTGGGAAGTTTGCGGAGGCTGACATCTTTGCCTTCCTTGGTGCTGGTGTTTGCCTTAAGACCGAGCTTGTCAACATTCGTGGTCATACTGGAATTCACAAGACTGCCAAGTTCTGGCAGGTTGCTGCTACTTACACTACTCATATCGACAGTTCTGAAAAAGGTTGCCAGTTTGATCCCACCGTTGGCGCAGTTAGCAGCGAGGATAACTTTGGCTTTTACCACACTACAAACCCCAAGTTTACTTGTACAATGAATGGTGACTCTACCACTCAGTGGTGGTTCGGTGCCTATAAGTAACACTCTGGTGGATTATTTCGCGCGTAAACACTAGGCATTTGCTTTGAGTTTGGCATGCGTGCATTGTGTTGTAAGGGCTGTGAAACTTTTTAACTGAACTGTGCCACCTCTTTAATACAAGTAATTAACAGATAAGGAATGGTTAGCGTAAAACAAGGAAAATGCCAGCACAACGGTACTTTTTAAACCCACTTTTCATTGTTTTTATCTCAGCTTGAACGGACGACTATAAAGTAACCAAATGATAAATTTGTAAAGTAAACAATTTCGTCGAAGGCATTTGATTCAAGTTTTTGGAATAAGTCAAACAAAAAAGTACCATATCCACTGTTTATCTTTTCTGGTTTTTCCTGATTTAGTCATCTAAACATGTAAAACAAATGTAGTCTCATAATAGAAATTTCTCTTGACAAAACCAAAGCGTTTTCTTCAGTCGTTCCTTTATTTCTTAACGTGTTGCTAGTCAAGGGGCAATACGTTTGAAGTTGAAACTTGCATTCTGAATATTCGGTGTGTTTCCAGGCTCCCACATTTCAGTGTTGTTTCTGAGATAACTGGTCCGACCACGTGATTAGTCCAACTGGGATTGGCAGCAGGGAATAATAGGTACCTTTAACAAGCCCAAGGGAATCTGTACGATTTGCTTCCCGTAGAATCTCTCAGTTGTTTTTCGTAGGCCGGAGGAGGCCTCTAATGGGTAGCAAAACATGCTAAATTCCTTTGGGGCCAGTATCAAAAAGACGCTATTATTCATTCAAAATATTTTGCCGTTTCCCGATAATATTTGATCCCCCAGCTGAAAGGCCATTTGCGCGATGACGTCTTTTTACTACTGAGACCAGAATCCTTTTCAATTTTTTTCTATCTTTACTTTTTCTTTCTGAGGTTTAGCTAACAAAATCTTTAATTTGCCAAAGAAAACAAAACCAGGGAGGAATTTTGGGAATTGAAATGAAAAATACGTTCATACGTTGCGAAAACGAGACTACGAGATTCCTGTCCAAAATGGGCAAAGTCTATAACCGCTTTCAGACCGAATCGGCGCAAAAGCCATACCCTTTTGGGCTTCACACCCTTTATGACTTAATTTACTTGGCGACTTGGCTATTGACTCAGAGGCCATGAGGGCGAGAGGAATAATTGTCTAGTAAAATCCAACTAGATGGTCAAAAATATCGAGAGAAAATAGCTTTAGCTAGCAAAACGCGATCCAGCCGCCATTGTTTTTATGAAGCCGGCGCTTTTCGCAACTGAGCTATGGAGACCCATATATTGGGAGCAGGCCAATTCTTAACCTAACTTAACTCATCTTAACGTGGGTTCGAATCCCGTTGAAGTCCCAAAATTTCGGTTTCATGTTAATTTGCAATTGCTTAAACTTTGAACTTTAAACTTTGAATTTCTGCAGTTCACATCATCTTTATTCTAAATGAAGAGTCGTTTTAAAGGAGCCTTCTTTTCGGTATGTTGCTGTTATAAATAACTGAGTGTACGTAACTGTAAATTTGGAGAACGTTTTCTACAATGTGTATGATAACTTATCGCATGTAATCAGTAACAATAACTAAAGAACTTAGTATACAATTCTGTTGAAGGGAATAATGCCGACAGTCACATGCCCATGTTTTCCTCTCAGTATTGCAGTGAGCTGTAAAACTCACGGCGGTGATTATCTGGAGAAAAATGGTTGTGTTTTTCACATTAATTTCCCAAGATATCGCGATTTTTGTCAAAAATTAAAAAGGTCGTCGGAGAATTTCAGTATAAAGACAATTCTTCCCCCCTAAAGGCATAAAACTCCTGTCGGTTCCCTGGGCCAAAATTGAAAAAGGGAGACCTTCTCAACCCCCGCACAGTAAATACAAATACCAAATCATCCGAATGATTTATACTTCAGATAATTAAATTCCTTTCGATGAGAAAAAAATTGGCATAAATCTATGTTCAGTTTTTTGACACTGGTCGAATAGCCCGTGTCCAGTTTAATTCTACTTTGGAGCGCAAAGTAGAAACAAGGGCATTAAAAGGCATTTTTCTAGTATAGTGTGCGATACCACATGCATCATCGAGACGTTGATACAAGCTGGGCCGCAGTTTCATTTGGCTCGTAAAGATAAAGTTTTGACCCTTTTTCAGCTATTTTCGTCTTTGTTCAATAAAACATTAGTCCGAATAACCAATAAACTAATCCTTACAGAACAGTAGTGTACTACGTTCAAACAAGGGAGAATGAGCTAGATCATTCTCTCTTGGTTGAAATTTAACTTAGTCAGAGCATGTCTTGATCTTTTGGGTCTGAAAACTGATCGCTTAGCTTAGTGCATTTGCCGAAAACAGTCGTTGGGTGCATGCCCTTATTTTCTCCTCATTTCCTTCTGGACAAAACGACATTCGAACAACAAAGCTGTCAAAAATGTGGAATTATTTATCCCATCCCACATCCAATGCAACATCACACAAAACATCTAAATATGGCTGATCCCATCAAAAACACTAAAGATGAACTGGACGAAACAACTCACAGAGTGACTTAACTGCCAGACACTATGGCTCAAGCTTGCCAGCGAACCTAAAATTTCCTCAATCGTAACCAGGGCCATCAGCTCATTCTAACTGTAAACCTAACGTGGTCCCATCAGGCAATGTTGTGTCGCTCACGCTAGCAGTTATAATTTGGCCTTTCAAACTCGCATTTCCGTCCCTGACCATGCAAGACATAAGCCATAAATGTACAAATTGACTGCCAGACTTGCTAAGATCAAGAAATGAATGTGAGGTCAAACGTTTCACAATAGGTTGTAAACAGTTGGGTGCTTTTCAATGACTTGTCGTGTTAATTTCTATTTCAAAGAATTGGCATCAATCCTCTTCCGGATGTGTATTTGGCAATGAGAGACAGTACTAATTTCTAAGAAATTATGGGATTCGCTCTAGCTGTCCGACCTTTTGGCACCATTGGAAACTGCAAAAACCGGTTTAGCGATAAGCAATAACAAAATACCAATAACTTACATGTAGTGTAGAAAATATGTGAATTCAAGAATTTCTGGTTTTTCCAGCGGAACTTGTTTACAACCTCGGTGAAGACGCCCGTGAAATATTTCCTAGTCCAGTGCCCATCTTCTATCAGTTTATATACGACTCTCTGGCGGTCGGTAACGATTTTCATCTTTGTCTTTTTATTTGTTTCCACATGTTCTATTGCTTTATCTTTGTACTGTTCCACTTGTCCAATGGTTTATAATAAGTTGTGTTTTTCATGTTTTTTTTTTTTCATGTGTAGGTCGATCGGGTTTATGATAAGTGGTTTCACCGCGCTTATCGGTAAGTACTGACCTATTTTATAATTCTTTCTAAGCGTGGTCTCCTGCGATCTCCAGTACAGCCTAAAGGGACTGCGATGGCCCACTTTCTTCCTCTAAAGTCCCGTGCCATATGCATAAGCCTCAAGTTTAGTATTTTGCGACTTCACCTTTCTCCATATTATGCAATCAGCGTAGACCTTTTTTGACGGTTTTATCAAATTTTGACATGGACAAGTAAGAGAAGGAAAATTCGTCGACACCACTAGAAAGAGCTAGCGCCTTAATTTAGTAACTGCCAAATTTGAAAGTGATACGTCTTAAGCGGGCGAAGATATAGCTTCGCAAAGTTGCGAAACTAGAGTTTACAGACCTTTGTATGTTGGGGGGCAAGTTTGTGCCCACCCCCATGCAAAAATCAGTAAAATTTCGCGACTTTGAGAACCTAAATCTTTGTTACTTTTCCACAAATCACTTTTAAACTCGGCATTCTCACTAATCTTAAGGCCTTCTTTACAGTGGTGTCGGCGGATTTTCTCTAACTTGCCCATGTCGAAAGTTAAACTCGCAACCGTGAAACGCAAATTAATAAGTCTGAAATCTTTCTTAACACTTGTTATATTTTTATCTATTTTTTTTTCCAACGAGAGTTCAGTTCTGTCGTACCTATAAAGAGCCATAGAGAGTTTCGGGTTCCTCGGGCTGGTTCACTTCAATTTTGCGAGCAAGGACGATAGTAAGCACAAACTCTAGAAAGGCTGCCATATTGGAATTTTCTCCCGGCTAGGCGTGATGTCATTTCAAGTTCGCCGTTTGAAAGCGTATTTATTATATATGACTGAATCTGCGAGTAGGCAGGACGAAACGAATCCAGAGTTCTAACTGGATACCCGGCCGATTTCCCGCCTTGTTCCCGCAATAAAATGTTCATCTCTTTTTAGCCATATATTGACCAAGCTTGTTCTATCATGATGGCCGGAGGTTGGCTTCGTTTTTTTTTTTGTTGTTGTTGTTTCCGTTTTTATCCTTGACGAAGAACTTGGCCACTATCCAGTCATCTTGACCTCACGCTTAGTAATTATGCATATGTTTTATCTAAATCACCAACCTTGCAAAAGAGACTAGTTTGCAAGCTCCCTTTTAGAGTGAGCAAAGACTGTAATTACATCGGTCGTTTTGTTTGTATATAAACTGTAAAATTTATGTAAAAATCTCTGCAAATATTTCAATTTAAGCTCACAGTATCGTCAGTTACCTTTTACGATATAACCTTTTTTCCGCTAGGAGTGGGAATTGGACACCTGAATTGTATACTATATAGATTAAGTTATCAAAATTGCGGATGAATGTCGCTGCTTATGCGAGATGCACGGGTATTAGACTTCAATGAAATGTAACTTAAGAATGACTGTGCTTACCAAACTTAACAAAAACTTGCAATCCTAAGGACAGAGCCTTCTGCAAAAGGCAAAATGAAAAACATGTTAGGGATTTAGAGGACAAAGTATTTGGCCTGGTCAGAAATCGGCATCAATTTCCATCTCGCCGAATAGATTTCACCCCTAGAACCTACTTTGTGAGGTCAAAGACTTGTTACTGCCAACAACAAAGCTCGCAATATCTCAAGCCCGGGATCAGTCTTTCACCCGTGTAGTCCGAAATGAGACGAAATACGAGAAGATATTGAGGTGTGGGGGCAAATAACGCTTATTGTTTCCTGCTTAGAATGGTTCACTTTCTTATTTTTATTCATAATGTTGGAATTTGAAAAGGCACTATACGGCCCCGACTTATGAAAATGGTACTCATTTTTCTGGTTACGAAAGTCTTCCAAAAGGGTACAATGTTCAAATGAGTAAATGTCTCTCACATGAGATGCTATGCCACGCAATGGTCAGCGACAAGCATAGTGGCCTGAGTGTTTGCAGCCACCTCCTCCCCCAACAAAATTGGCAGCCCAGTTAAAATAGCCTTTTGGTGATTCTTGTTTCCCTCTGATCTGAGGAACGAGCGCAGAAATTCCATACTGATGAAGTGTCACTAGAAGGTAGTAACACGTCATTAGTATAGAATTCATCTGCGCTAGTTCCTCAGACGTCAATCCGCGGGGAAACGTTAGTGAATAAATATGTATGTGTAATCAAGGTGACGAGTGAAATTAGGGAATAATTTCACGCGCGTTTTGTCCAAATCCTAGTAATTTCCCGAGCCTTTAGGCGAGGGAAATTACTAGGATTTGGACAAAATGGAAGTGAAATTATTCCCTAATTTCACGAGTATACCATTTGATTACCTATTAATATCATGGGTGACGAATTACGTTAGCAATCTTGGATTTTTGACATGTTTATCCTGGATCGTATCGATCGAGAACTTCACTCTCTCAAATGTTTAGACCTTAAATTTGGCATATAAAGTTCAGAATTTTTCAGATTTTTTCGGCAAAATACCTGTAAGAATCCTTCTTGATGTTCTCTTGTGTTCAGGTTTTCTAAAGCGTCTTTTTGTGCCCTGACATCTTCATCCACGGCATTTTAAGATTTTAAAACTTCGTCGCCATCTTGACACTGAGACGTACGGAAGGGTTGCCATGGCAATTTTGTAATTTCACATGTGAAATTACAAATTAACGCTGAAATTTCGCGCCAAAATTAACGAGTAATTCGTCACCTATGATATTAATCTTATAACAGGTGATACGGAAGACAGAAAAATGGCTTAGATCAACTTGATCTTTTGCCAAAGTTCTTGTCAGAGTAATATTTTTTGAAATATTATACAAGAAAATCCCAGGATTGATGTTTATTCTGACTTAGGAAAAGACTTTTAATCATTCAAAACAGTGTTTTCCTCTTTTTTTGTTGCTAAATTTTATCACTCAATACAATGTTTACTTTAATCCGTAGATAAAGCACTTTGTCGATCTGAACTGGCGATTTCCTAACAAGACGAATTTTGCCCAAAAGTCGAAGTTTAATAGTGAGCCGCCTGTTGCAAGCCCAGTCTTAAGACGTCTCCTCTGTTTGGTCATCTCATTACAAAAAGAGCACCGTTAATTAATCGAGATCAAGCCAGAAGGCGTTGCCTGTTTCGATAAAGTGTCCGCAAAAAATTGACAAATTCTTTCAAAGATTGAAGATCTAATTACTAGGCTGCCTGTGGCACGCCCAGTCTTAATTTCGGTTTTCCGTCTTCTGTGCAGAAAAACGAACACCCGCAGAGGGGCAATCACACGGTCTAAGACCGAGAAACGATGTTCTCGCAACTTGTTCCAGGAGATTTTCCCTTGCACGAATTTTTTTTGTACCTCGCCCCCTTCCCTGTCCCTTATTCAGTGGAAATGATAAGCAAAATGAGACTCAGACACCAAAATTGGAACTCTGAGAATTCATTTCAAGTTTATGTCAAAACTTCACAAAGCTTGAGACGAGCGGCCTAAGGGAAATTAGCCCGCGAAAACATCCGTTTCTCCTCGCTCTTCGTCGATGGGGACGTTTCGCTCGGAGGAACCTCTTCGCGAAACGTCCCCGGCGGCGAAGAGTGAGGAGAAACGGATGTCTTCGCGGGCTAAAGGGAAATCTGCTGAGCTACTCACACGGTTTTGTGAAATTTGGTTTGAATTGTTGTCAATGTGGCCTAGTCAGATTTTTCTTTTTTTTTTGTTCAGTGTATTTCGCGAAGCTTTCACCATTAATTTTGTGCATAACGTTAGCTGTGTATTAAAGTTGTTTCCAATAAACTTTGAGGGTCGGATATTTAAACGAAGTCTAACTTACAATGCTGTTTAGGAAATCTGCGGACCTCAAGACCACTTCCTTAGTGGACTGTTATAAGACGACAAAAATTATGCTTTAAGGTGATTCCCTAGTAAAAGAACCTAACATAGATCGTAGATGAAACTTGGTACACTGATGTAACAAGTCAAGAAGATGATAAAAAAGTAATAAAAAGTGGGGGTCACCGTGCTTGTTTTGACGTCACAATGCTGACAAATACTGCTATTTTGGACCCTTTGACAAAATCCGCGCGCAGCCCAAAACTAGACAAAAAGGAAAGATTTTTTCAATGATGCATGTGGTATCGCACAGAATTTGACTTTAATGTATTGTTTATCCACTTACGTACCATAAAAATGCCTTTTAATGCCGTTGTTTTTACTTTACGCTCCAAAGTAGAATTAAATTGGACACGCGCTATTCGACACCTGATAGTTCAATCCGTACAATTTAGTAAAATTGCCAAAAAACTGAACATAGATTTGTGCCAATTTTTTTCTCGCCGAAAGGAAGCACTGTCCTTATTAAAATCATAAAATAAAAAATGGGGTCACCGTACTCGTTTTTGCGGTAGAGCTGCAGAAAGTACATTTTCCTTGATTTTTGAGAGAGGACTGGGGCGAGTTTCAAAATAGAATGTATGTGAAAGGGGGAAGAAAGTATTAAAAAAATCCGTTGTTACAGAATTTACATCGAGATATCACATTTAGGACACAATATGCTAAAGAAAGCGTTTAAATGAAAATCAAAGTGAATAGCACAAATTAAACAACCACTATCGAGGTTCTCCGTGAGGCAGTCGAACTCAGCAACACGCGTGCTGCTTACGTTATGCACATTCCCACCACATTGAGTCTCACCTCGCCAAGAAACAACCGCAAGCAAAAATTGCAATAGCGTTTCTCTTCGGTCAACTTCATTTTAATAATGTTACTTCACATGCTCTTTTTTAACGGAGGCCATCTTGTTTTGCGCAGTAAGACATGCGCAATGCAAAACTAGGGAATCACCTTAATAGTCTATGGTATATGGTTCTATGAAACTGTTCACTATAAATGGCGTTCACATTGTTAAAGAGACTGGTTCACGATAATGCGCATGCGCGCCGTTTGTCTCTTCAGAATAAATTTGTCGGCTACTGTCAGAACTCACACATGCCCATTATCGTGAACCAGTCCCTTTAAAAGCGTTCGGTAGACTGAAAATGGGTTAGAACGCAGTTTTGTTTAACACTGGCCAAACTCAGTTTAAATAACTGGCCCTCTAAAAGTTCACAGGCCTGATTTTTTAGTCCGCATTAATGTAACATACCTTTCAGGGAGGGTGTAAATTAAAGCCAAACATAATAACTTTAAATCAGTGAACCTAACACGAAACTTCACCTGTAAGGGACATTCACGTCCCGTATTTTAAGCTATTACACTGTAAATGTGGAGGCAAGTTCCTTTTGGCGTTTTTATAGACGGAGACGAACTGGAGGTTAAAAACGCCAAAAAAGGACGAGGGTAATATCCAGCTATCCTTACCAAAAAAAGCTTGATCAATATATAATAATGCCTGCGGGACCAACGCGGGTAATTCCAAGTGGAGAAGATAGGTCCACTATTCTTCTAAATTCTAAAAAATAAGTTTTATGCAAATAAAGCTGGAATCGAATCTATTTTAACTCGTAGCTTTAATAAGTAAGTACGACAGAATAGAGATTTTATCTTTGCGCAGGCATTTTTTCTGATCTGTTGGCATCCACATTTCTAGTCACTTTTCAAGCAACAAATCTCTAACTTGTTTTTCTTCTAACAGATCAGCCCGTGCACAGAGTTCAACTGAATCATTGCCGGTTTCAGTGGTGATTTTTCATCATGAAGCCTTTTGCTTGCCTTTTTCTTCTGGTGGCTGCGCACACTTGCCTTGGAAGATCGGTAATGCCCCAGACCTGTGCTTAACGGAATAAAAAAAAATTCGTCTCATAAGAAAAAATGATAAATTGCCTTTAGCTTGCTAAAACATGGACAAATGATCATATTTCGTGTCTTACTGACCTGGCATGTGCAGCCCGTATGCATCAAGCTATCGAAACATTTTTTATTGTATTTTATTCTTACTTTTTCTTTTTACTTCTTTCTCTATTTTTTGAGGTTTACAATCCCGACTTTATCAAACAGGTTTCAGGCACTAAGGTACGTTTTAAGTTATTGAATGATTGAAAAATTTATAATAGAGAACTGTGACCGGTAGAAGTGACAATTGAAAGCAGTAAACAGTGAGTACCCGTCTAATAGATCATGGATGGTTAGATGAGGGTGCCCTGCCTTCCTTACAGAGAGTTGAGGTCTAATACCGGCAGAGATACAGAAAACGAAAGGGTCCTTTTAGTACACGTAAAAAATAAAACAAAGCAAGACAGTAGATGAATTATCAAGAGAGATCATTCTCTCTTGGTATTATGGCTTACTTATTGATGAAAAACGGAGATCATCTGATCGACGTAGGTCGAAGGCAAACATGGAAGAGAACACGCGAATGTTAAGGTGGCTCCGTAATTAATACAAGAGCATTTAGCTGTGACAAATTTTCCGTCATAACTTTTTGGTTATTAACGCGATGGCTGCGAAACTTTGCAAAGAACAACAGATATCATTCGGCAATAACACGAAATATTCCGATTTCATTGATGGTAAATATTTCTTGAGAAATTAGCGCTTAAAAGGACCCTACTGTTCAAAGAAAATCGCGTCTAGTAAAAAATTTTGCTGATATTTTTTACTGAAATTTCTGGTATCGGCTTTAATTGATATAATAAATATGCCAGAGGAATTTCAGAAAAATCGTTGGAGCAGAAGTCCGAAACTAAAAGTCGCTCAAAATTCAGCTGTTAAATTGTTTTGGAATTTCAAAGATAAATTACTATCGGGTAGAAGGAGCCACCAGTTTGAATTTTCGTGACAAGTAAATTCAACGTTTTCTAATTCTTAAAACAAAAGCCGATTGCCTATCGTGCTATTCTTTAAAAGGTACTGTTTAGTTGTAGAAGCACTATAAATTGCTCCAAACCTTGCTCTGAGGTAGAATTACTTGTTCTTCGACATTTTTAAAATATCCCATGGCAGTTTTGGTTCAAACTCCTGCTGCATACATTTTGATGTATTGCAATGCATTTTCAACGACTTTTACTTCTGTTCGTTGCTTCCAACTCAGGAAAAAAGTATTGAGATTGGACGCTACCTCGTACCAGAGCTCAGATAGAACTGTCCAGCACCTTTGTTTATGACTACAAAATGAGCACGAGCGGCAGTTCTGCGTGGAATTCGCACCTCACACAGGGGGGACGAACGACATCGATGACCATGCCTGTGAACCGAATAACATCACAGTCCAAAATAAAATTATCGCAAAAATACTGCCCGTGAATAAATTTACAACTCTGGAATTTTTGTCACCCTTCCCTCAATGAATGGGTATTTTTTTTGATTATTATGTTTTGCTCTGCAATACATGTTTATACAGATCGGTTCCCAGACATGGGCATCATTGTCATTCGTCCCCCTGGCTGAGGTGCGAATTCCTCGCACAAGTGCCGCTCGTGCTCATTTTCTGGTCATAAACAAAGGTGCTGGACAGTTCTATCTGAGCTTTGATACAAGGTAGCTTACAATCCCAATACCTTTTTCCTGAATTGGAAACAACGTACAGCAGGAAAAGCCGTTGAGGATGCATTGCAATACATCAAAATGTGTGCAGCAGGAGTTTGAACCAAAACTGCCAAGGGATATTTTAAAAATGTCGAGGAACAAGGACAACAAGTCATTCGAAGTCAGAGCAAAGTTTTGAAGCAATTTATAGTGCTTCTAAAACTGAACAGTACCTTTTAAAGAATAGCACGATAGGCAATCGGCTTCTGTTTTCAGAATTAGCAAACACTGAATTTACTTGTCCCGAAAATTCAAACTGGTGGCTCCTTCTCGCTGATGGTAATTTATTTTTGAAATTCCAAAACAATTTCACAGCTGAATTTTGAGCGACTTTTAGTTTCGGACTTCTGCTCCAACGATTTTTCTGAAATTCCTCTGGCATATTTATTATATCAATTAAAGCCGATACCAGAAATTTCAGTAAAAAATATCAGCAAAATTTTTTACTAGACGCGATTTTCTTTGAACAGTAGGGTCCTTTTAAGCGCTAATTTCTCGAGAAATATTTACCATCAGTGAACTCGGAATATTTCGAATCATTGCCTAATGATATCTGTTGTTCTTTGCAAAGTTTCGCAGCCATCGCGTTAAAAACCAAAAAGTTATGACGGAAAATTTGTCACAGCTAAATGCTCTTGTATTAATTACGGAGCCACCTTAAACGATCAGATCAGAGACTGAATAGATGGACATATAAACGAAATCGGGTAAGGTGATAAATCACAGAAGATATAGCGCGATGGGTATCTAGTAATTATACCAGTGATATAGCGTAGTAGACGGGCTGGTCCCACTGACACGCATTTTTGTAATGCTATTTAAAGGAAAAACCATGCCAAGAAAGTGCAAAAAAACTGCAACCCCGATCGTGTGCAGATTACCTAAAGAATGGCGCAGACAAGTGCGGCTACTACAAGATCTTCGATGCTGCAGGGAATGGCTTCACTGTGTACTGTGACATGGAAACAGAACCTGGTGCGGCCTGGACACTTATCATGTCTTGGAGCCTCAAAAATAACATGTTATTGAGCTTTAGGTACTAATTTAATTAAACAATGCTAAAGATCGTTATTAAGCTAAATTGTAGAGCCTCTATATGTATGGGTACCTGCGTAATGTCACTTTCTTCGTTCAAACCAGGTTCTATCGTTGGTTTTTCAACATATAAAGAATTGCTTTGCAAGTATTAGCTCTTCTAAAGATATTAATCAAGCACGACAAAGAAGACGAAAATGAGTGAAAAAGCAGTGGGTGTAAAAACTGGTTTGATAAGCGAAACTGACTCAACGTGCACCCGCGTGTCATCGAACCAAAATTCAATCGAACACCAATCATTCGATTGAGTGCGGTAATCGAACATGATCGAACATCTACAGGCGTGTCCCAAAAGTTCGTTCCTGAGTCCTTTGTAAGTCTGTAATGCAGTACGATTGGACTTGATAAGCAAATCTTTTAAAGAAAAGGTTCTTGTATTTTCAATCGGACTGAAACGGCGACATTCTTGATACCTATTTACGGCAACTGTAATTTCGATATATGCGGTCTCCTCCCGGGTCTCCTTCGAGTTCTTGACGCTCTCGACAATTCACTTTGGGTTCACTGAAAACTAGCAGCGATTCGACCTTCAGTAGAAATTGTCCCGACCACGTGGCTATTATGGGGTATGATTGTCCTATCAAATCGTTAACTCCCTGTATACCGGTAGGCTCCGCCTGAAAGAGATATCTTAAGGCTTCAGCTATATGAAAGAGTAGGGAAATCTGTCATTTGGGTCTGTGAAAGGTCCCAAAAGGCTAGCCGATGAATTTTATGGCTTCATAAAGTGAAACGTTCTATATTTGGGGTGCAAAGTTCTAAACAAGGTATGTGAAAGTGGTACCATTTTTCAACAGAAGCTATACGAAAGGGGTACCCTTTTTGTGAAAAATGGTATATAAAAGGGTAAGGGGTTGGACCTCGGGGCGGAGCCTCCCCATACATACATACATACATGTTTTTATTTGGAGTCTTATACAATAAATAGTATAACAACTATTTCAAAAATCACTAAAATTACGGACAACAAAAATTCCTAAACATAGGGCTAATAAGTTATTAAGTCCTAGAGTATTTACTTTTTGCCGTCTTCCTCTTTTCTTTTTTTCAAAGCATTCGAATATGTTTTGCTATTAGTTTTTGTATTTTAGCATTTCCGCTAGGGGGGGTTTATTAGAAACATGAATATTTTGTTAGGTGACATTCTGCTTATATTTATTCTATATTCTTTTTCCAAATAATCTAGTAACGAACATCTTTTTTCCTGGTAAGCAGAGAATATATTTAGAAATCGGTATTCGTCCTCCATTTCTATTTTACAAATTGGTCAAATTCTTTCTTAAGGTCTCGAATAACGTCCTGTCTCTATGGCTAATTTGTGGTTGCTTAGTCGCAGTTTTGTTAGAGTTATTCTTTGTCGCTTATTGGTGACCTGTGTAGGTAATCTTCACATTTTTAATTGTCTATCGTTTTGAATAACCGGTAGGTTCTCATTTTGTTGCTTTGGTTAGCCTCCTTTCTAGCGTCGTTATTTATTTCACTTAGCCATCTTTGTAGTTCCATCATCCTTACGCCGTTGCCTGATTAGTTTACGATTCCAATGTCCGCATAGTGTGCTTGCATCCAGAATTCTCCTAATCCTATCTGTTCCAATAAGCTTTTGCTTTTTTTGCTCCAGGAAGCTTTATTTTCATTCCGATTTGATGTCATTGTCTGCTATTTGGAATAATTTGTTTTCATTTTTGGTAAAGGTTTACCAGAACTCAAAGTTCCTACATTGGGCTTCAATATAATTCTCATGCATTCTCTCAGCCCTGCGAGCATTATTATTGCAGTATTTATTAACTCCCAGCAACCACTTCAGGAATTTATTTTAAACTAATTCTGCTGGATCCTTTTCTAATTGTCCATTGCAATCAATCCCCCATACTTCACTCGCATAAAAGAGTATGGGAGATATCAGTGCAACAAATGGCTTCATCGTTAATTTTATAATTTCTCTAAAGTGGTTTCCCATCTGTTTTCGTAATTCCTAGAGAGCTTTGAATGCAACTTTCTTCAAACTCTTGCTCAGCGAGATTAAAGTTTCTATATATGGACTCATTATTACTCCAAGATATTTGTAGGATTTTACATTTTCCAGTTGATCAGCACCGTATCTGAACGAGTAGTAGTCTAAAGACTTACCACAGTTATTAAAAATCATAATTTTTGTCTTGTCTAACTTTCCACTTACATCGGCATTTTCACAGAAAGATTCTAGCTTATTAAGGATTATTTGAAAGCTTTTTGCTGATCTAGAGAAGATCACTAGATCGTCCGCATATAAGAGACAAGCTGTATTTAGGAATTGTGGTAGATCACTTATATAGAAATTAAAAAGAGTAGGTGACAATATGCAACCTTGCAACACTTGTTGAGTACCCCCCCCCCCCCGGGGGGGGGATGAACATAAGGGATTTGTATAGGAATTCAGGCAAAACATTTAAGAAGATAATTAAATACTCGCTAGAATTTTTAATACCTTACCTTAGTTACTCTGCTTGTTTTTTCTTACCGTGTCGTTATTTTCCCGAACCAATTGAAAGGAAATCGATTCAATCTATTAAATCGCAATTGATCGGGAAATAACCACACAGCAAGCAAAAACAAGCAAAGTAAATAAGGTAACAAAAGGTGTCACGTATTTTATTGACAATTCTAGCGAGTATTTATCTTCTTGAAATCTTTGCCTGAAGTTCCCATTCAAATCCCTTATGTTCACGGTGTTCTGTCGCGCTTTGTAATAATCGTCGCACTTCGTAATAAACTTGAAATGGATTGACGGAAGATAAGGAAACCCAATAATCATGAATTATCATCGACAACAACAACAACAATAATAATAATAACATTCCAATGAACGGTTTTCGACACCAATTTCCCAAGTGGATGCGGAGGGAAGTGTTCAAGATCTTTGTAGGAAAGTACAACTCTTTCTATGCGGACGACCTTGGGACCATGAAACAGCGTCCATAAAAGCATGATTCCATAATGATGCGATTTTGTACTGGAATTTAGCTGCTATCCCTGTTATGTCCCTGTTACAAAGTGCGACCATTATTACAAAATGCGACAGAACAGTCACGGCCATTTTAAGGATTACGCAGTGATGAAACCAAATGTATTAAAGATTTGACTCTCATACTGATCGATACTGAGCTTTGGCTGCCTGTGGTGTACATGACCTAAGATCCACCCAATCAGCAGCTCAGGAGAATTTTGTTTTTTTCGCTTAGTTTTGTTTGTTGTAACGGTTTGATTGTTTAATTTTTATTTTCCCTGTATAATTGATAGCTTCATTGAGTTCCTTTGTTTTGTGATTTATTGATACTTCCTATTTCCCCTATATATTTATACAACTCTTCCACAGCTTTCCTGTTAATTAAAGTTGGAAGTAAACGCGAATAATCATTCAAAACTTATATTTACCTTTGCGCTTATCGACAGAAAACCATTGCCACTCAACTACCCCGTAAACGAAAATGCGCCTAACTGGTTCCTCTACCGGCTAACAAAGGACAGAATGAGATCGCTAAGTGACGTATCCACCCACTGGCGAGCTACTTGCGGTTATGACAAGCACGGCATCAACAATTACAGAGATTACATCCGTGGAAAAACTGCAGATGTTAACATCTTTGCCCTTGTTGGTACTACTTGCATCAAAACCGAGCTTATCAACGTCCGTGGTCACACTGGGATACACCAGACTGCGATGTATCACTCAAGTAGTTACCTTCCTCACGTCGAAAGTACTTCAGGTGGATGCCAGTTTTCTGTTTCAGGTTTGAGCAGTGAAGACAACTTTGGCTGTTACGGCACTAAAAACCCTATGTTTACCTGCTCGAGGAATGCCGCATCTACCACGCAGTGGTGGTTTGGTGGCTACCAGTAATTAGCACACTGATCCTTTAGCGACAAAACTCAGCAAACCCTTAGCTTGTTTTGAGCTTAGCACTTGCTGGCCAGGAGAGTTTCCATTTTGGCTTTCATGCACTCTTGTTCTTCGGACAGCGGTGATAGACATTTTGTGTTTTTGCTTTTGTACGAATGTATAGACTTGACGTTTCGTATGTTAGTCAACAAACATTTTCAAAAGTGATCAAAAGTGACCCGTTTTAACAGATTACCAGATCAGTATAAATACAAAATTGACAAGAGGTCTGGAAATGAGATACGGAAATCTCCTAATGGTGAATATATAAGAAAAACAACAGTGAATATGCTGAAGTTCAAGCACCGCTGTTTATTTTATTTTTATTAACCAGCACTCTCTTCTTTACTGTTCTGTAATGGCACCTTTAAGTTAGATGTTACTGAAACTTTTGATCGCCCCATCTAAGGGAATCCAAGACAGTCTTAGATTGTGGATTCTACGTCGTGGATTCCGGATTCTAGAGCCTATGATTCCGTATTCCACCACAGGGTCCAGAGGAGTTTCGTGTGAATAAATGAGTTACTTATTTAAAGTCTCACCTTGAAAAATGTCTATACCTGTCGCTTAGCACTATTAATTAGCCCAATGGGATCTTTATAAATCTGCTGTAAACGATTTCTTCGCTTCTTATCTGACCCAGATCGACTTTCGAAAATCAATAACCGCAAGCCATATCCTCGCTGGCGCACGGCACGTCGTTCGAAGGGTGACCAAAGGCCATCGAGCCCTCAGTCTCTTGGTTTGCGGTCTATAGAATGTGTAACGAAACTGTAACGCGATCAAAATAACCCATTTTTTCAGAGGTTTTCGACGGGTTTTGACTGATGTTCTAACGACAAACACATCTCCTCGGGACGCTGTGATTCCACAAGCAAAAATTTCCCTCGTTCCGGAATCCGGATTCCCTTACATGAGGTGGTTTTAACTCAATTAAATGACTACTTTAATAAAAAACTTGAACGCAGTAAACAACTTCGTCATTTTCGACATTACTTTCTTAGCGCTCTTATCGACAAACTTTATTTCGCATGAGATCTTCTGCAATGCAGGAGGGGAATTCTTGTCATGGTCATTAGTTGCGATCTTGAAGCCGAAATTGCGAATGTCGCGCGCAATGCAAGAGAACACATCCAAATCCAATAGTAGCTCATCTCTGAAGAACAGCATCTGTGGTACTTTTCATGTTTTCAAGGTGGCGGGCTGAGACAAGGTTCCAGGCACTTGTCAAACTCCCCCACCCTCGGGATCTTGTGTAACCTGAGATCAGGCTCAATTTTCGTTTCGCTTTGTAATAACATTCCGGCGGGCAAGGCGAAACGAAAAGAGCCCAATTTCAGCGGTAGCCGTTGGAGAGAATGTATGAGAACCGCTCAAATTGGGCCTGAACTCAGGTTAGATCTTGTGTTGCGTCAAATCTTTTATTATTCTCCACCCACAGAAAAGGAAATACAGAGGGTGTGAATGGGGTTAACCGACCAGCGACAGACAACGGGCAAAAAATATTACTGACTATCGATAAAACGGGAAAAAAATTACCGACTACCGACAGGAAAAATATAAACCGACTACAGATATGGACCGGCGACATTATCTTTGTTCAGAAAGAAGAAAATATCTATCTTAGGAAGTAACCAATTATACCAACGACTTTATAAAGTTTATTGAAAAGACAAAGGTGAAAAACCGAACATTTCCTGTTTCGATGAACGTCACAATTCTTTTGACAAATATACCACAAAACGAGGGTATTGAAATTGTTTGCAGAGCGTATGAAAATTTTTACAAAGCAACCCACCTATTCCTACACATTACCTGCGAGAAATGCTTAGATTAATCCTCAAAGAAAATTCTTTCCAGTTCAATGGAAAGGTCTTCCTACAAACTCACGGGACCGCGCACGATGGGCACAAACTAAAACAGCAGCAGTTTCCTTTGCCGACTGGCATTTATTAAAATAAGCAAAACCGTCCTCAAGCCAACTGTTTGGAAACGATACATGAATGACAGTTTTTCGCTGTGGGACATAAGTAAACCAGAACAAGTAAATTTAAATTACCCTACTATTAAGTTTACCACCGAAATTCACTGAGACAATGCTTTTACGCACAGTTGTATACAAAGGCCCAAGAGTCAACGAAAAAGTTATCCTTGATGTAAAGTCGGACACATTTTAAACAAACGAAAACCTTGCAGCACACACTTTTCGCCCCTTGTCACCCACTGATTTGTCAAAGGAGAAGCCTTTAGCCTTAAGGAACGTTTGAAGAAACTATTTCAAATTTCCAAAAAAAACGCCTGACGGACAGGGGCAACCAACACAATATTTGAAATAAAAATTGCTATCAGAAATAAATAAAACTCACAGAAACTGGAAGTTCGCTCTCCTGAAACAAAATAGCAAGGAAGAAAAAGAAATGTTGCCTTCGTGACACAATACCAACCCTTATAGTGTCTACTATAAAAGAAGCTTAAATGGAAAAGTGGAATCTCTTACAAAACCAACCACTACTTTGCCAATTTTTTTAAAGAGCCACCTAATTTGAGTATTGTTTCCTATTGTTTCCTACAAGAAAAGAAAATTATGGCAAAGAACATGCTTATTGTTAGAATCAAAATATTAAAGGTCAACACAAGCTTTCACACCGGTGTATATAGATGTGCAGTCTGTCACCCCTTGCAATCCTTGCAGTTTTTCACCAAAAATATTTTACGTATCCAATATCCAATTAACCTCCCTTCATTTCTTTTTATAGTGCCCTGTAATCAACAGGAGAGCTAAGTTCGCATTTGCAATAAAAGCGTTGGTGATTTTATCGGTACTATATTGGAAAATAAAGGTGATCAGAAATAAATGATCAAATGATGCATCAGCTTTACACAAAATAATCAACATGCATTTTTTAATTATTTACTGAGATTTACCGACACAACCGACAAAGATTGAAAATTTTAACCGACTGCCGACAAAGTAACTGAATTTTAACCGACAACCGACAAGTGGACCACCCCCCCCCCCTCCGCCTCATTCAGACCCTCAATACAGTCAAATTTCTAGCGCTTAGCTGGCTTATCTTGAAGGTGCGATAAAATGACAGCTGTTCTACAGGCTTGTCTGCCTAGAAATAATTCTTGGTCGGTGAAAAAAGAGCTCTACGGTTGCTACTGTTCAGCGGTCACTAAAGGTGTTAGGAGAGGAAATATCAGAGGGAACTTTTTTGGTAAGGATCCGTGGCGAATACCCATTGATACTGCTGAAAATTGCGCCAGAAAAATTAGTAAACTTGCCAAGTTTGAAAGCGATACGTCATAGAACTTTTAAGATAAACAACACTTGGATGGGGTTCCATACTGACCTTCAAAAATTGTCTGTCATTCTGCGGAGGAATCTCTTCCCTGAAAACCTTATCAACAAGTATATTTCTAAATATATTCAGACATCAGTCAAGGGAGGGAAAACACAGCCCCATTCAGGAGTCGAGCCCCAGGAAACGCCTAAGTTCTTCTTTAAAATCCCTTACGTTGGGCACTTCTCAGTCACGGCACAGAGGAGTATACGCAAACTTGCTAACCGGTTATGTAAACCTATTGATTTAAGGTTAGTCTTTACTACTTTCAAAGTCAGGAATCTTTTTAATGTGAAAGATGCTGTCCCTGAGGGGCTACGCACGCGTTTGGTCTATAAATTTTCGTGTGCAAGTTGTAACGCTTGTTATAGCCTGCGTAGCAAGCGTTTCCTCGCGAGGTTCGTCTAGAAAGTTGGAACGAGAGCAAAAAAAAAATGAATGACGGGGGAGGGGGAGGGGAACGAAGGAACCGCTTGCCCGCAAACCCCACGATTTTGAAAAACTGCGTTCGCCCACGAACGCAGCTTCTCATTGGCGCGGTGCGGGTAGTGTTGATTACTTAGCATTCGAAACATCAATCAAACCAGGTATGCTTTGTTTTCGTGCGTCACAGATCTGGTCTCATCTGATTTGTGGTCGCAGATTACAAATGCTTTGGACTGATATTTATTGGAATCGTGTTTGTGCGAAGGTTTATGAGATCAGAGTCTTCAAAGTATAATTGGAGATCGAGCAGTGGAGACTAGGGAACGCCAATTTATTGAGAATGACAGCGTGCGGATCTGACTGGAAAAAATGGACTGTTTGTTGGAGATTACATCAACATAAATCAGAACATCGGTACTCGACACTATAGCTGAAGCCGCCATGAACAAGCGATTTGTCAGCTTTTTGAAATGAAAAGATTCTTTTTGTTTATTGGAAATTTAGCGGCATCTATTGTAGAGAACGTTTCGACACAGGCTGAAGAGCAGCCGCTCGGCAAGACTTCTACCCGGCGGAGTGAATTGTTCCGGACAAATCATTTTTGACGTGTCGACAAGGTTTCAGACGAGATAAAGCCACACAATAAAAAACAAGTATTTCCGCAGCAATAGCTAATAGTTTTAACTTTCTTTTATCGTAGATCATTTTTATTACAGTTCTTGCAATCGCCCGCAACGTGTTCTATTAGAGAACAAAGTAATTTTACAAATCTGGTAATCCAGGGGTAATCTGTTCGTTATGTTTCTATTTTGACGAGCTGTCAATTTACAAATGAACCGAACCGCGAAATATCAAGGGGCGTTTTCCAGAATCGTGGGGTTTGCGGGCAAGCGTTTCCTCTTCTCCCCTCCCCCTCCCCCTTCAACCTTTTTTTTTGCTTCCGCTCTAACTTTCGCGCAATAACTCGACTGGAAACGCTTGCTACGCAGGCTACGCTTGTTATGTTGGTGAAACCAGCCGACACTTCTCCACACGAGTGCGCGAGCACTTACATTCAGACAGGTCTTCGAACGTTTTTAAACATCTGCAGGGTTCAGAGTTTTGTAGAGCATCCTGCACACCGGATTTCTTCGAGATCGTCGACTCTGCAGCCACTAAGTACCAAGTGAAGCTTAAGGAATCCATGCTTACAAAATGGGAGAAGCCCGATCTCAACCAGCAGGTGAAACACATTAACCTGACTCTCTCCCTGTAAAGAACTAAGCGTCATAACGAACTTTGTAAGATCGCGCGCGCTTTAAATTCAACGGCGATTTCAAAATATGTAACACTGAAGATGACATTCTCGTCCCCAGAGCTCGTCGTTTCTTGGTCACGTGGTAGGGAAACGAGGGGCTCTGGAGGTTGGAGGCAGCCGTTACCGGATGTCAGAAAATTTCTGACATCTGGTCGCGCATGTGCAGAAGTTACAAATATTACTGCTCACGCTCATAACGGATTTTTGTCCCTCACCGCTCCACTGGGGGAAAAATTTTACTTCCTGAGCTCTCTCTAGAGAGTGGCTTCTTTGGGGTGTTTTGAAAATGCACCACTTCACTCAACTTGGATTCACTGATAATTTGGGGTTAAAAGAAGAAGACAGTAACAGAAACCGGCTGAACACACTGTTGGTTTACAGAACTGAGACAATTAATCGGCAGACTGTCGTCTGAGTTATATCAGTTTTTTTTCAATACGTTTGGCGAACAAACAGTCCTGGAAAAGCAATATCGCGAAGATCGATATAATGCGGGAAAAAGTCAATCTAGAAAGGTATCTTGTTCCATGTCCTTCAACTGCTGTCTTACTTATAAACACTTTTTGAAACGAAACCATTCATGTGTTGTGTTAGGAGAGTAAAATATATATTTCATTTCACTCGAGCTGGTTGTGTGTTTTCCTATGTTTATTTCCTTTTGTGGTGTCGCATGTCGTGGTTTTAATTTTGCCCATGAGCTTTTGTGTACAACACGTGTTAGACAACCGAAGGATTTACGTCGAAACAAATCAGTATTAATCATTTTACCGACCCAGGGTAAAAAACATAAATTGCAAGGTTTGTCCAAGAGAAGTGACAGTTTAATACACCTCCATGGACTGGTTCCATGGGCTTCCATGCATGGCAACTTAATTTATACAGTACTGAGTGAATCAAA